AAAATTAAACTTTGAGTTAACAAAAGAAGTTAAATGCCCAAGAAAATCCTACTGTGTGCTTTATAGTAATTCATGATTGTTAACATTGAAAACACTCATAAAAAGTAATTACTAAATTTTAGTTTTTATATTGAATTGATTCAATATTTCAATGGAAATGAAAAGTATTAATCTAAATGTATAAACAATCAAGGTTCTCAGGATGTTCAATTCCTACTGAATGATCAGTCAGGTAGAGGTTATACGAGTTATTAACCATCACAGTGAAGCACTTGACAACCACATTCCCTAAGTTTGCCTTATTTAATGATGCTGGAATACTTAAAGTATTTTCATTATTTCCTGGAAATACAGATATACATGTTTATTTTCTATCTCCTACTTTTGAATATCAATAATATTTTTATTCACCAAAAGAGAAAAATAAATACTTAATATTAAAGCCTACGTAAATGTAAATACAACTAAACATAACCAAAGGACACTAAAATGATAAGGATGATACATGCCACTCTGGGTCTCAATAATTGAAGAGTTGTAGAGATTCCATGTACAAAATCAAATGATTTACTAATTTTTTCTGAAAATATTGTTTGAGCCAAGAAATTTTTCAAAAGTTAGTATCATTTGCCCAATTAGTTCTAAATTGCCAAATCAATAATGTATAATCAGAACAACTTGATTCACCTATATCGTCTCAGTTCTACTTCCAATTCAAGACAAGTAACCACGAAATTGAGAAATTACAGTAATTTCTTGACTGCCTGGATGCCAAAAAAAGAAAACAGTGTAGCAAGAGTTAGTTATTGACATCCCTATTATAACATAAATAAGACTACTTAGGGACATACATGCAATATTCAGATTTCACAGCTGAGACCTAATTTTCTGTACATGGTCAAAACAGTTGATAAAGTCCTGATTCATGGTCTAGTAATACCAATCTAGGAATTAACAAAACTAGCAAAATCAAAGTTTACTTGCATTATATCTGAAGTTTTACAGAAATATAAAATGAAGCCCCATTTTAACTTTAGCAATAGAGGTAAAATATACCTGTAATCGCATATATTATTTCAAGTTTCTATTGTAATTTATAATATTTTACAAAACAATGACTTATGGTATATCACAGACTCTATGTAATACGAAGTGGTTTCTAATGATCAAAAACATACAAAAATCTTTTACCACAAGGAGGCTTTAAAATGTGAAATAAGTCACATGTACTGTTTCCAAAGACATCTGCCACCAGAACCATCAGTCCACTGGATTCTGAACTGCAATCACAGTCCTTCATGGACTTTACATAATCTGACAGTACCTTACAGTTATAAAAATGTCAAAATAGACAAAATATCAAAAGAGAAGGGCAAATTAGCATTTGTTAAGTACTAATCTAATTTATCAAAATGATATAATTTCTACTGGTCATGGTAATAATATGAGAAAATTCTATTATCACTATCCACCACTTACTAAACACACCTTCTATTCCTAGCTAACAAAAAAAATTTTAGAGGACAGTAATTACATATAAAATATCAGATGACTGAAACATTTCTACACTATTTTTTATTTTAAAAACAAGCCAAATTATATATGAATGTACTCATCTATGTGATCAGTACTGTATGAACGTATGAACAGAGTGCATGCAAAGAGTATGAATGCTCTTTGCATGCACGTGTTAACGCAAAAGGAAAGAAATTCTTCAACAGACTCTGAGTCTCCCAAATATGCTGTGTGTGACTAACAGCTGAGAGGAAATGCAACTGAAACTGTCTGCTGGAAATCCATTAAAATCTAGGCACAGAAAAATACATGGGTGACAGTATAGCTGGAGGTGCAAATTTGTGCAGGAATGTAGCCAAAGTTTTGGCAATTCCCTCATGGTCTTAGATGTACTGACAATGGCCTTTCTTTTTCAGTTGTAATGTTACACTTAAAGAACATTATTTAATGGAGTTGAAGGACCTGCTTAGTCTTTAAAACAAATAGGCTTAAAACTTGGATTTACAGAGGTATGGCATTTCTAATAATACAAACAAAAATTTGCACAAAAAGTTCCATGATCCACAAAAACTGCCATATGCAATCAAAAAAAAAAAAAGTCATTACCTTGAGGTGAAAAAATGCTGTTTTGCATTTCATTCTACATTTCCCTTTAAGGAAATTACTTTAAATTTTTTTCTGCAAAAGAAGTTTTTTCAGATCATTATCTTCTGGGAAGGGAGTGCTTTGAAAGGAGAATTCATATTTTTAAGCACTTGCTCTTAGTATACTACCTTACAGACTTCTTTACATCCAGTATTTGCTTGTTCTTAGGAATGAACTAGGTATCTAACTCCTTTACACACCATTTAATAGCCACATTTGATTCCAGTCACTCTGCACTGAGCCCCCCCTACTATGTCCTCAATGCTGTAGAATGTGATACTGAAAAATGAAAGCATGGTATTCTCCCATTAAGAGTTTATAGCTTACTATCAGTATAGGTTTAACAAATGTATACATTCAAAGGTATAAATATTCTATAAACAACTCTAATTGGTGTGACAATATAAAATAAATTGAACATTTTGAAGGAAAAGTATGATAGTATTTTATAGGTGAGCAGTAATAAGTAAAATTGACACAGCACTTTGCACTTTTTAAGAAGTAGTTCTCATAAAATTCACTGAATCCTCAAAACAGCCCGTTAATACCATATAGGGATTTTTTTCCCCCATTTTACTGAAGAATCACCTGAGACCAAGAAAAGTTAAGTGACTGAACCAAATCTACAATACTAAGTACACTAAATAGTAGAACCAAGATTCAACCCGGGTTCTCACAGCTAAATCAAGGCTGCCACTGGATTTATGATTTTCAAGTTCTGTCATACAAATAATTTCCTTTGATCCTTACAACAACCCAATGAGGTAATAGCAGCCAATATTCACCTAATGCATATTACACAGCAGGCATTGTTCTCTACTGCATTAATTCACTTACTTGTCACAAAAACCCTATAAGAGGCTTAAATTATTTGATTTTACAGATGAGAAAACTGAGGCTCATAGAAAATATGTAAACTGCCCAAGATCACACAAATAATAGGTAGGGGAATCATAATTTAAATCCAGGGCATCTAGTTCCCACACCTTCTTCTTCACCTCATTCTTCAGTAGGTTAAGAAACTTGCCCAAAGTCACAGGAAAGAAAAGTGCAAAGGGAGAACAAGAAGCATGCATGTTAGCCCTTCACCCTAACTACTTTCCCTAAATGTAATCTGAACAATAAGGATCATTAAATCCAGAAGGGGCAAGGTAGCTTTGGAGTAGATTGTTCTCTAAGGCAGAGTATGAGCAGGTGAGAAACATCAGCAGAGTAACAGGGAGAAGGAGTCCCATCAGGCTAGAGAAGACTTATCTTCCACCCATTCGAGGCAAAAGAGAGTAAAATAAAATGTATGTGAGCAGAGACAGGCGTATTTGCCACCCTGGTGTAGGTAGTATGAACTGCGGTAGACGAAAAGGGATGATTCTAACTAAGAAATTAGTAAACATGAAGCACAGACTGATTTATTTTGAGAGAAAATTTAAAGCCACTGAAAGATATGGGATAGGTGGTGTAACGCCTCCAAAAGAACTGATACCCCACTCCTGCCAAAAGTACCTAGCACACAGGAAGAAATTATATAAGCACCGAAAAAAATCTGACTACACTTTTTCCTTTTTCTTTTTAACACTAAAATGTCATTTACAGTCTAGCAACTCCTTTACCATTAAAGATGTTCTGTGGAGGAGAGAGAAGTGGGGAAAGGGAACATAATTGAGCATAACGTGCTTCTCGTTAGTTCTCATGTCCTGAATCTACGGTGCGGGTTACTTTAACAGGTAGACCGTCCTCAGACTCATTAAAATCAGGTGAAGGAAATCACAACAAAATCCCATTTAAATGAATAAACTGAAACGTCAACCTAAATCTAAAGTACACGTTAAAAGTAGAATCTGCAATAAAGAGAAAAAAAAATCATGGCAGAGACAGACACAATGATACCAGGATACTCTAGAAAGCAACACTTTTTAGAAGACAAATTAAAGGAAAAGTAACCCTAATGGAATTTTTTCTCTCGTTACTCAAAATAAACCAGGTCACTGTAATGGACCTACACTATGGCATTTTGTTCATTTTAATTTCATTTTTATTTCATCAAGCCATAAATTCCCATGGAAACACCTTAGACACGTGCTCACAATAATTGGAATGCTTACCCTTTCAGTATAAGTACTTTTGCATGAGTTCAACAAAATAATAAGAATGCAATGAGGCCCCTCCAAGTTTTTTGCTTATGTCAACAGCTATTTTATGAGTACGAATTACCTTTGCGGTTATAAAGCATGTGTAAAATACATTACATGAGTGAGAAGCCTTACTGCAGATGATCCAGTAAAGGTCTGAACTGCACACAGAAACATCAAAATCAAGCTGAATTTCCTAGAATATAGCAACCATAAAATTTTCCTCCCAACGCCATTACTGTTAAATATACCTTGATGAATTAAGTTCAAGTGTAACTACAATTGAAATATATGATTCAGCTGAGTTATGACCCATTTTTCCTCTCAAAAGCAAAAGGGAATAATGACAGTTGTGAGACTTACATTTTTCCATTCCAGGGTTTTTCTGAAAGTTATTTCACAGGGGAGCTAAAGGCAAAATGCACTTAGTGATATTTATTTGCTTTAAAATAGTTATTTATGCTACTACTCACAGGACAGATAGCATTTTAATAACAATTTATCAAATAACAATTGTATTTGGTCATTTATTTTTAAACTGTACAGACCAAGAGGCATTCAGGAAGGAAATAATCGCAAAATGTCATATGATACCTAAGGCTACAAGTATAACTAAATGACATGTTTACATACAACAGAACCAACATACAACAGAACAAACAACCAACATGACAAATACACAAGTAACATATATATGTGATTGAAAATACCCACCCCTAGCAGAAAGCTTTTTGGTGTTGATAATTTTGGCAGCATATTCTTGTCCAGTAGGGATTTTCATACATCTTCTCACCACTGAGAATGCCCCCCTGAAAACCAATAATTAGCAGGTCATCAATATAATCAGCTCTGATATTCTATTAAAAACGCACATCTGAGCATTTTTATTGAATTTAGTGAACTGTCAAATATCAGTATACCATAAAGTAATATCCAGAAAATGAACCGTTCTTCCTGGAAACTGAGACCCTCTTTAATGTTGAAGAATAAAATTAGATTTCATTAACTGGGAGCACACATTATTAATCAACAAAATGAAAAGAACTGCCAATTACGACGGCTCTTGTTTGCACATGAAATTTGAAAACATTTTACACTTCACGCTAACACAGCACCAAATGCTCTGAGAAGAAACCCTGCAAAGAGCAGAGCTGAGACGGAGCAGCAAAAAATCTGCTGCCTATTTATTTTAGTAGGAAAAAATAAAATTAATGTGGCTCCAAGTAGGTAAATATGGTGATTGTTTTCATTAAAATAAGTCTTAGGAACACTTGAGTGGGGTTTAACAAATCCTGCTATGGTGATTTCACTGTGCCCTGTTTTGGGTTGGGGGAGGGGAGAGTTTGAATTAAGCTGCTCTTCCGACATATTCTCCATGTTTTAACAGCAGACAACATAAATATATAAGGATATGATTTTCATTACATTTAAAAGATATTTACATGTCCTTTAATTCAACTGTATAAAACAACAACACACACAGAAACGCGCCCCTTCCTTAAGCAATGTTCGAAACTAGCGACAGAGGATTTGGGTTTGGGTTTGATGCTACATAAATTAACGTTCACGGCTCGGCCTCTAGATTCTTTGCACAGGTTCTCAGTAGGTCTCCTGTCCCCTTCCTTAACATCACCAAGTACAACAGTTCTCTGCCCGTCAGGTGTAGGAGGTCGTTTTACACAACGATGGGCTACCCTTGGGAAGCTCTCTCCCGGTCACCAAAGGGCTTTTCCGCTGCCTGTATAAATAAATCCTCCCAGAGAATGCGAAGATGTACACGTAAATCCTAGGAAGGATGATGATCAGCGAGTAATCTAGTGCAAAGAATAATCGTGGATATGGGACAGGGGTTCGAGTCCCTTGGGGTGGCCCTTTTCCTGGACAGAACAACTACTGGACGCGAAATAGACTCTACGCCAAGTTGAACTTTCGGCATCAATAAATATGGCACCGTCTGTGGCAGCGAGTTCTCATCCGTACGTGGGTCGTACGGCCGACACGCCTGCTAAGCAGGCGGCATCTCTATTTACAGAAAACATGATCTATGTTGCATTTTACATGGGTTCTTGTTTCCTCTCCATACACACAGACACACGCTCGCACACTTCTCAGGATGACAGCTACAACTGCAGGGATCGTAAATCCACCAAGTCTCTGGTGCAGAAAGGTGGGGGGAGCGGGAGAAGGTGGGCTGAGGATTATCGGAATGGGCCACAGCCGGGGTGGAAGGTCTTGCCCCTTCTTTGTCCCCTCCTCTTACTAACACAGCACCTTCCTCCGAGCTGACACACCAGGGGCCCTCCTCCCTCTCCTCCCGTCTCCCAAATTCCCTCGCCCCACGCGGGAGGCCGGTGGGTCGGGGGTAACGCGACCCGCCCTCTGCTGGAAAGGGGACGTGAGGGTGCCCGGCAAAGGCGCTTACTTTCCGAGCTCCTCGAAAAGCTGATACTCGTCCGTGAACCTGGTACAGGTTGTAGTCGAAGCCATCCTGGGTCCGGGCTGTACCCCTGGCTGGGAGCGCGGCGGACAAGACGCGAGCAGACGCGCGGCTTCCCCAGGACTAGTCCCGCGGCGCTGTCACCCAGGGCCGCCCTCACTTTCCTCGTCCGAAAGTAGCTCGCCGGCGAGGGAGTATGCGCAGGGGCGGGGCGGGAGGGGAGATGACCAGAAAGGGTGGCGTGGGGTCTCCTCCCTACGGTCCGCCGATCCTCCTCCTTCTCCTCCTCCTCCGGGCCTCGCTTCCTTCTTCTCCGGTCGTTCCACCCGCCCCCTTTCCAGCCCCTCTCCTCAAATGCAGGGGCAAAGTACTCAAGAAGAGGGACTGGGAAATGGAAAAACAGCCGGGCACGGGGCGAGAGGCGAGCAGTTGCGAAATGATCCGCACCGGAGCAGGAGGGGTAGAGGCGGAGGGGAGGGAGCCCGAGGGGGCGGAGGCCGCGGAGCCGGGAGCGGACAGCTCGAGCCCAGCTGCAGCTGTCAGAGGCGCGGGCGCGGGGTGCGCCAGGGCCGGCCTCCCAACCGCGGGCACCTCGGCCGCCTCGCGCTCCCCACGAGCCCACGCCGCTCCGAGACTGCGCGGCGGAAGAAAAAGCGCTGGGCTCGGGCGAAGCCTCGTCTGCTGTCCCCAGGCCTCCGCCTCCTCCCCGGAGCCTGGCAGCACCCCCTCCCTCACGAAGCCTCCTCTTGCTGGTCCCACACCTCCTGCTAGCGACTCTAACACTGTCCCTTTCCCACCCTCCTTTCCTCCCTCCCCGAGCCTCACACACGCGCAGAGCTGTCCAGGGAGAGACCAGGTGGGTGGAGGATGTGCGGGGGAGAAGCCGGGAGAGGGTTTAGGTGAATGAGGCGAGACGTCAAAATTACAGTTAAACCCGCAATGAGGCTCCTGCCTAAATGTGGGGCTGAGTTAGCGGGAATATGTGGGGTAACTCGTGGACTGCCGAGGGCTGCTGCCGGGGGTCGCAGAGGCCCCCAGCCGGGTTGTGGGCGCCGGGCTCTAGGGACCGACCCCCGCCGGCGCGCAAGCCGCGGTGCCTTAGGTAGAAGGGCGAGGGGTGCAGGCGCTTCATCTGGGCGCGGCTCCGTGTTGACACAGCGGGGGCCGGATGTGGGTAGTCGACTGTTTCCAGAGAAGGGTCCCAGCCTCCCACACCTCCCGGTGATGCTCGGGCCCACCCAGCAGAAGCCACGCCGCCTGCTTCTAGGAGCCCGGCACGGGGTTCCTCCCTCTCCCGCAGCCTCTTCGGCGAGGGGCGACGCCCGCCGTGCCACGTTTCACTTCTGATATGACTGCCACCTCACTCTCCACATCCCCCCGCCGTTTTCTAGGTTGGGTTGCTCAGACTCTGGCAATCCCCAAAGGCCTTTGCTTCGGCCATGAATGTTAACAGAATGAAAGCAAAAACTCCGCCACGGGGCCACACCTTCCCTACAGAGTAAACTCCCCTGTAACCTCAGTGAGTTCTGATAGTAAGACGGTTTCTCGCGAGATTTCCTGCTTGGCGGCGGGGGCGGGGTAGTGGGAAGGTTGGGTGTCGGTCACGCGACCTGGTAGGGTCTGACGTCACTCGCATCACGTGAACAGGTCTAGTGCCTTTCGCTTTGCAAAAGGAAAAAGGAAAAGGCGAGGTCGTGCGTGCTTTGCTTGTATGCTCAAAGATCTGGTGGGACTGTGGCACCTGAGTATACTCCGTAAATGGCTATCTGAAAAATCACTTTATAAGTTCAAGAACACGTGCTATTTATTAGCATATCTGTCATTGTTTACAGTAAATACGAGGAAAAAAACTATCCATTACATTTAAAATAGGAGAATTGCTGAGTGCTAAAACAACCCGTGGGCCTTCCTTCCAGTCCTCTGTCTTTAATAAACTATGCAATTGCAAACTTAGAAGCAGACCAAAACCGAAAGAGTTGTGAATGGTCTTTTTCAAATTACTGCCTTTTGTTTTACAGTATGGGGACTTTAAAAACCTGCAATTCTATTGCTAATTTGCATCGTTAGCATTACATCAGGGATTCAAATTTCCACAGCTGGAAGATGAAAGGTAAATAGGAGGTCCAGAGAATCTAAGATTGGAAGGAGTTATTTCTTGCTCTCAAAGGCTGCTGTTAATTAGTGAATTTGCCCACCGTCACACATAATCCTAATTCCCTTATTTCCTGATCTGGGGAATGCTATTCTGCCAATAACTGATGTTTTTACCAACGTTCTCAAAGTGATCACAATTTTTAACGCTTGTAACAAAATTGGACTTTGTACATATTTTGATTCCTAACCATAAAAAGCAAATATTGTGTAAAATGTAGTGTACAAGAAAAGATACCAAAAACTATATGAAGAAAAGAAACAAGGTGTCTAAATATTAATAATTGGGCTAGAAAGTTGAAAAAACAATAATTTAGTCTCGGCTAAAGATTTTTAATATATATCTTAAATATTTAGCAACATGGTTCCAAGTTATAATGTAATAATTTAATATTGTTATGTGAATCTAAAAATGAAACAGAAGTAAACTTAAAACAGATAATATAGAATTTTACAACTCTGGGGAAGAAAATTGTTTTTTAAATATTCAAGTAACGAGGCCTGCATAATTACTGTATTTATTTGTTATTTAAACTACCCATAATTGTAAATGGTTATGATGATTGTGTGATACAATAAAGGAAACAACTGAGTTTTAATACTGACCTATTATTAGACAATAAATGTGTTAGACAATAAATGTGTACTTTTTAAGCAAACACTGCTTAATCTATATTTGCACCATTCCCTGATCTATATTTTGTACTAATTAAAATATTTCTCTTATTTAAGAAAAAGTGACAGTTATTTCTGATGTTTGAACTCCTTAAGACAGTAATCCTTTGAAAGTTACACTGAAATTCCATATTATCATCTCTTGCCTCCTTCCTGGTCTCCTGCTTCTGCCCTGCCTCCTTTCATTCAAGCCTCAGCCCAAACAGCCAGAATGATCCCCTTAAAACCTCAGTCAGAACAAACCATGCTTATGCTCAAAACCTTATGAAGGCTTCACCCCATCTCAATTGGACTAAAAACAAAATATTAAAGATGGCTTATAAGGCCCTAGAGAATCTCTACCCCCTACTCCATTAGCCTTCTTACCTCAATTTGTGCCCTGGCTCACCCTCCTCTGGCCACACTGGCCTCTGTTGTTCCTGGAGCATGTTTCTTCTTAGGGACTTTGCATTTGCTGTTCTCTGCCTCCCAGAATGTTCATCTCTTAGTTATCATCCTATCTCATTTCTTCACCTCCCTCCAATATTTTCTCAAATATTACCTTACTGTGGTGGTCTTCCCTGCCCACTCTATCAATGACTGCACCTCTCTCAGACATGATTTCTAGTCCCATTCCCTGCTTTATTTTTCCCCTCAATACCTATTACCATATAGTGTACTATACATTTTTTTCTTGTTAATTGTTTATACTTCCCAACTAGAACACAGGCTCCCCAAGGGCATGAATTATCGTATGTTGTTCACTGCTCTATTTCTAGCAACTAGAATAATGTCTGGCACATAATAGCTGCCCGATGAATTTTGTTAATGGGTAAATTAATTATTTGGGGGTTTAGATTAATCACAATTTTCATATTAAAATTGGTAGTTGATAATTAACATACCATTAAGACATCTTACTATAAGGGTGATGATTTTCAATCAAGATGCTCACAGTATCCCATGATTAAAAGTGTTTATGCACAGAAATGGATTTTTTAAATACACAAATAATTGACATCAAGAAAAAAGGATCTAGTACTAATTTTCTTGTCATTGGAGTCCATAAAGGAAGAAGGAATTTGTTTTTTAGATATATTGGCCTTACTAAATTTTACACTGAAATAAAAGGCAGTGCCAAAGGTTTTAAATAACTAGAGCTCATTGTGAAGACACAAGTCAATGTAAGGAAATGAAAAGTGTGGCGTAAAGTGAATTTTTTTTTTTTTTTTTTTTTTTTTAACGGTGCGCAGGCCTCTCACTGTTGCGGCCTCTCCCGTTGCGGAGCACAGGCTCCGGACGCGCAGGCTCAGCGGCCATGGCTCACGGGCCCAGCCGCTCCGCGGCATGTGGGATCTTCCCGGACCGGGGCACGAAGCCGTGTCCCCTGCATCGGCAGGCGGACTCTCAACCACTGCGCCACCAGGGAAGCCCTAAAATGAATTTTTCATGTGTAAAATGAAAAAAAAAATTTCTAAACAGTAGCATATTTGGTTTCTCAATTGATTTAGTTAATCACACAAAAATTGAGATCACTCAGTGTATTGCTTCTAGCTTCTAACTTTCTACTTTGCTAAGGCGGAAGCAAAGTATTCATAATTTTATCAACTTTAAAAATTTACCCTTTAATACGGGAAAGGCAGTAACAGCAAACAAAGGGGAAGGGGTCGGGGTGGGGGGGTGGATAGGGTTGGACGACTGTTGGTTTGAAAAGTAGTTGTAAGCAGAGCCCTTTCACTACCTAGACCACTGGACTTCAATCAGGTGAAATCATGTCAGTGCCAAGACAAGGAAGAAATCTTGCTTTAAATGTATCCCATCCCTTTTTTGTGATAGCATTAACTGACAAACAGCAAAGAGACAGAAGACACTGAAAATGATCACTACATACAAATACAGCATGAGAATAAAAGAACTCTTGTAGATAAAAATTGCAAGACTTCAGTAGTCCCACTAGGAAGGGATAAATTTCTAATACTTAAACAAAACAGCTATTCACAGTCACTCATTTCCCTTGCTACAAAGTTACATACAAGAAACAAGGAAGAGATGACTATCTCCATAGCACCCCCAAAGGCCGAATCCATCCGTAGTATGTATATTTCTGTGAGAATTTTAGCAGGGTCTGTATTGTAAGCCACTCTTCACTGCAGTTTTAGAGGCAAGGAGAACAAAGCAACTTGCTGTTGCTTTTTTCAGTTAGTCTTCCTAAGGTACAGTAACTTAACCACATAGAGCCCGACACAAATACAGTCTACAAGTAAGTGGATAATGGATGTGCCACACCATCCATTTGTGCAAGATAAATTTACAGATGAAGAAATTAACTGTTGGGACTTCCCTGGTGGCACAGTGGTTAAGAATCCACCTGCCAATGCAGGGGACACGGGTTTGAGCCCAGGTCTGGGAAGATCCCACATGCCACGGAGCAGCTAAGCCTGTGCGCTACAACTACTGAGCCTGTGCTGTAGAGCCCACGAGCCACAACTACTGAAGCCCACACGCCTAGAGCCCGTGCTCCGCAACAAGAGAAGCCACCACAATGAGAAGCCTGCGCACCGCAAGGAAGAGTAGCCCCTGCTTGCCACAACTAGAGAAAGCCCATGCGCAGCGACAAAGACCCAACACAGCCAAAAATAAATAAAATAAAAAATAAATAAATTTTAAAATGCTGTGAATTCAGAACACAATGATTTAAAAATTTATTAAAAAAAGAAATTATTCATAAAACAAAAGGTAGTAATAGAAAAGGTTTTCTTTGCTTCATCAGATGCTGAATTTTTTTTTACTCAAAATAAGAAATGTGCAAATAAACAAGAAAATAAACGATATCCACCCAATCAAAAAGTAGCTCTTTTCCCATTACTTTCA